ATTTTTGACAAGTAAACACATGATTTCAATGTTCTTCCAAATGAGAACACAAATCAACTTTGATATTCCAAAATGAACGAATGAATCTCACTCAAAATTATACCAGAAAAGTTGACTAAGCAATTTTTTCCAACACATCAATTGTATTGTTTGTTAAGATTTCAGAATTCTCGACATATAACAACATCTCCAGATTTTCAACACGAATACAATAATGGTAAGTTCCACATCATGCGTCGAATAATTTTTCTCGTGCAATTTCAGCCATCAAGACGCTAAAGCAATTACTTTCCATGTTGCATCAAAACACAACCAAAGCTGTTTTTAGGGACATCACTATAAATAGTGACACAATCGTTAGGATAGGAACAGAGGTTACAAAACAACAATAGTATCTTGTTAACCACAAGAAACTGCGTACTTCCATTGCTGCTTCCACTTACTTGGGCCTATCGCTAACCCTCTTAAGTCACTATATGTCCGAGAAACACAACTTGTTCCAACTAGAACTTAAATTTCTTAAACATGGCGTGAAACTATTTTTCAAGAACCTCAAATGAGTGGCATGCTCTTCCCTTGACTTCAAGTAAATAAGAATATCATCAATAAACACAATTGCGAATTTATCGAGATATTCTTTAGATACTCAATTCATTATATTCATGAAAGCTGTGGAGGATTGGTTAATTCGAATGGCATCACCAAAAACTCGAAGGGCCTGCTTGGGAGTTTAATTTTCACCAGTTTTGGGTAACACCATTTATGAGTGGTTGAAAGAACTAGTTTTTGCTACATTTTTTGGACACTGGTTTTGAATGATTTAAAAACTACTCAAAAACGGTAGTGTAATTTTGACCGGTTCTCTCAACCCACCAAATCAAGTATTTTTTGCCGTTTCTCAAATTCTCTTCTAATTTTATCCTTTATAAAATAATTATTTCCAANCATTATTGTTGACTGTTATTAGACGACTCAAAATAATTATTTCCAACAAACATATTTTGTTGAATACTAACTTATAAATAAAAATATACTACTAAAAAAATTATTTATAAGCAAAAAAAAAATTATATTATAATTAAGAAACTTATAAGATAAAAAATTATTTTTGTGTAAAAATCTTACTAATAAGACAAAAAAACAACTTATAAAATATAAAAAATTACTTATAAGTAAAAAATTAGCTTATGTGTAAAAAATATTTATAATTACAAGATTAAGTTATAATTATAAAGTTTATATATAACTAAGAAATACTAACACAAAATTTTATGTAACCTTTTAAGTTAAATATTATCTTATATGTAAAAAAAATTACATATAAGTAAAATATCACTTATAAATAAAAAATTTCACACCATAAACCATAAGCTCAAAAATTTCACTAAGGGACATATATGTAACTTCACATTTTTAAAAAAACTTTTAAAACCGGCGGATAATAAACTCTCAAACATGGATTGTAGTGTCTTAAAAATTGCTACTAAAACCACCCATAACTGATTCGATCATAAACGCTCAAAATTGATACATTGAAAAACGCTCATAACCATTACACCGAAACTTCCAATCTATTTTCATGAAAGATTCTACCCTTGCGATTGGTTAAAAATAAATCATTCGTATCTAGGAGTGAATATTTTTTCTTCATGTTCACTTTGTTCGATTCTTGATAATCTATACATAAATGCATTAATCCGTCTTTCTTCTTGACAAATAAAATTGGCTCTCCCCATCGAGGATGAATAAATCCTTCAGTCATCAATATCGATAATGCGGACCAAATTGATTTTTCTACAACTTGTGCCTAGAAACCTTGACATCTTTGTGCAATTAGCTTAGATTCTTTAATTGCCGAAACAATTATTTTTGAAGTTTTCTCATGTCTATAAAAAGATATTGACTTCGCCTCTCTGGAAAATGTTGGAAAATATATTATGGCAAATGAATTTTCACTTGTGTATGTGAAATTAATCCCACATTGATTGAAAGTTGGGATTTGAAGAGGAGTTTTAAAAGGGATTAACAATCCCACATTGGTTAGAAATGGAAAAGTGGGAATATATGGGGACTATAAATAGTACCATCCCACATTGGAAAAAGAAAAAAGAAAGTGGCAAGTG